GAGCGATGGGGATGAATCCCAGGACAGCGAGGATGACAATGACTCAAGAGATTCCATGAGTCTTTCCAGCGAATCAGAGGATTCCCAGAAGGGGGCACCGGTGGTCAAGGCCAGGGGAGCCCCAGGGGGAACGTGTCAAGAGCAGGGGGCCAGCGGGGGATCCCAAAGTGGCAGCTGGGCATCAGGACCAGCCTCCCCGCCAGAGTGCAGCGAAGGGAATGGAGGTTCCAGTGTATCAGGGGAAGCAGCTCCGGCAGCAGAGAAGGGAGGGAGGTCGGAGCAAGCCACCCTCCCGGAAGGGGAGGGGAGTAGTGAAGGGAGTAGTGTAACTGTCAAAAGGAAGGTTAGAGGTTCCGCGCGCGCGCCAACTTCAACAGTGGAGGCGCGCGCAAGTCCAGGGAGCCCGGAGGAGGAGCCAGGTCCCAAAGCCCGCAGGACGGGGGAAGAGCAATCTGGAGATTCCGCCTCAGGGAATCCAGGAGGGCGAAACCCCAGGGGGCAGGAAGACCCTGCGGAAAAGGAAAGAGAGAAAGAGGTGGAGCAGAGCAAGCCTCTTAAACTGGTGCAGGGGAGGGACTGACTCAGAGGGGACTTCAACGGTCTAAGCGTAACAGACGTGGGGCTGCGCGCCTCGGAGGTGAAGCAGACAATGAACTCCAATAAACACTTTTGTATATAAGAAGAAGTTGGCGTTGGTCTTTTGTGAGCTGAGACCTGAGGCAGCCCTGACAGCAGCACTTTGGGAACTGCTGCCAAACTCACGAGGATCCAGTGATTGGCATATCAGCCAGTGTAATAAAGTAGTTTGAAACTACTGCTGCAGCTACTGCTACATCATCACCATCCAATATGCCATTTGATTTTGCACTGGTCAGTATACAGCTTTTTTCAGTTCTGCCTTTTTAAAAAGGAAAGGAAAAGAATCTCTTGAAAAAGAAAATGCATTATTTGGAAATAATTCTCATAGTAATAAGACAAGACTACGGAACCGGGCGAGAACAAGATGAATGTTGGGGAAAGAGGATGAGAAGACGTAAATACAGCTTCATAACCTTCAGCTACGTGGAGCCTGAGGCTCAGAGGGAAAGTGCTTATTGAATGTGTCTGAGGGCATCACATACACTCTAAACATTAAGACGATGACAGCCGCCAGATCAGAGTGTAGACCAATGTTCAAAAGAATCATCTGCCTCCTCCCCCCCTCCTAGCATCGCCTCTTAAACTAATATATGGAATCAAAGGACTTCAGTAAGTCATCTTCCATCTGCCTCAGGGTTAAAGAATGCAAGATCTGCCACTTGGGGGTCTCTGGTTGGCTCCCTGCAGACTCCCCTAATGGTCTAAGGGCACAAAAATAATGCAATTTGTCAGGAAGGGACAAATGCTGTAATAACAATGTTCATCTAAACTGGGGCAACAGCTTGGTTTAATTGTCACTGCAAGACACTCTAGCTGAAGTTAAAGGCTTGGATGAGGGGAGTATAGAAAATACCTTATTTGACCATCCTTTATGGAGAATTTCAGGGAAACCAAGTGTACAGAGGGCCAGTGACAGGGAAGATTAATACATCTCACTGCCACTGACAGTTCTAACTTATATAGGGGATATTATCATACCTTTTTGCTTTAAATGCAAGAGTTATTGCCTTTAAAAAAAAAGAAAGAGATACTTTGTGCTGTACAAAAACTGGGACAGGCCCAAAGTGAGCAGAGATTGGTAGAACAACATACCTTTAAATGGTAAGAATGTTTCATATAGTTTACTTTGTAAGAGACATTCTACACCAATAGAAGCTTGAATTTTGTCTCTCAGGACTTGAAGGTACAAAACAGGCAGTCTTCAATTATATAGTTCAAAGCAATGAGTCACATGCAGGAGATAGTATAGTGAGCCCCACAGTATTACAAATGCAGAATAGGACCAGCAGATGGTAGACTGGTTATTGAACTCAATCTGAAACCCTATATGGATCAATGTATGGCCCATGAAAGGCTAGGCAAGACATTTTGGTGTGCAGGGATGAAAATATAATAATGAAAATGGGGCAGAATCCATTGAGGTTTTGTACATCCCAGTTTGAAATTAATTTGGCCTGTGAAAGACAGTTTCCCAGTGAATTGTGCTCTATAGACTAGACTTGTCTGTGTCCTTTTTTGCTGCTCTTAAATGGCACCCAAATCTAGTTCTTGGAAGGGCCAGCAGAAAAGCTTCCTTTTCATAACATAAAAAGAAAATTGTGGGTGGGGGTAGCTCAGAGTTCTTTGGAAACTCCATACACATATAAACCTGAGTTATGAATGATGTTGTCTCTGATGCTCAAGTGCAACTTGTGGACATGCAAGGCTTCTTCAGTTATCCTCATGGTGGCAGAACCACTGCTTATGAACTGCTGTCCTTAATCATGCCAAGTTACATCTAGTCTGTCATTCTGGCTTCAACAGCACTGGTGTCTAAGTTGCATGTCTTTCCCATAAGGAAAATCCTATGTTGTGGGTGGCAACTTTATTGTGGCAAAATGAGCAGCCGAGTGCATTGAGCCAACCTCTCTCTTTATGTGTAGAGTGCACAGCTATGCATCGCTCCATTAAAAGCCTCACATTTCCTGACCACTTATAGTTAAACTAAGATGTGAATTGTAAGGTCACTGTAATTATATGTCCAAGGTTTCATCTGGATAGCCAGATCACATTGTCTGCATCAACACACATGTCTCTATGCTATATTTTGCACTTGCATTTATGTGCCAGTCCCCATCCCTCTTTCTTTCTTTCTTTCTTTCTTTCTTTCGAGTCTTCTAGAATTTTATCAGGCCTGAATATTATCAACACTTTTCTTCGGCTGAGGTTTTCTATAATGCACTGAGAGAGATCAATCCACTGATTAAGATTGAACGTGATTTCTTGTCCTTATTTCTTATTTCTTTTCTTTTTTCTAAAATGGGAATGAGCCCTTTGTGAGCAACATGATGTACTAAAGACATTTTAGTGACCAAAAGAATTCAACGGATTGCATAGCAGCATGAAGATAAAATTAATTGGGTCTTCTTTCATGGTATCGGTTCCAAATGCTGTTAAAAAGGATTTGTGTTTTTAAGATGAGCTAGGGAAATGTCATTTCATGACATCCCCTCCCTTTTCTCCTCTTCCCCCAGCCCTCCATTTGTGCTATTGCTGTCTTTTTGCTTCTATATTCAGAAACACTTTACCATGTCCTCCTCTATTCACTGTTTAGCACGATTAGTTTCGTATTCTCTGGAAAATGAACAATCCGTTCCCCGAAGATGCCAATTACTTGGCTCCTTCAAAGCTTTTTGCTTGGAACATCAGTTGAGGAACATAAAAACAAACTCAGAAAGAGGTGAGCAAGCATCTTCTCTCCATGAGCTGCAGATTTTTAGAGGTCTGAACACAGCATTTTTTATATCTATATAAAAAGAAAACCATACTTAAAGCTAAAACAACAAAACACAAAACAAACAAATCATGAAGGCTCTTTTGGACAGAAAACTCAAAATTGATTATGGTGGTCTTCACATACATTTTTATCACCATGCTAACACTGTGAAAATACATTTCTCATAATAAACATTAGGAGTGTGGGAAGCTTTCTTACACTGAGTCAGACTATTGGCCCATCTAGTTCAAAACTGCCTGCACTAACTAGCAAAAGCTCTCCAGGATTTTCAGCAGGGGTCTCTAGATGATTAATTTATGGGGAGAAGGAGGTGTCGCATATCCCAGTGTCCCGCAGAGATAACCACATTGTCTGTTTGTTCATCTTAGCATTTCATATCTGGATCAAAAGGAATGAGTTACACAGTCCCTACAACATTCAGCTGCTACCACCTACCTCTGTGGCTGATAATGCAAGTTAGAGATACTCTGTGATACAGATGCCAGAGAATCATTATTAATATATTGCAGACATGTGACTTGTAGTTTGCAGGTGGGCTCACTTGCATGAGTTATTCTCTCTGCACACACTTCTACTTGTGAAAATGTTTAAATCTCTGGGGACCTGATATCATGTGTAGAGGGGATAGTGTGGTAGCAGAAAACTTGTCAGCACATCCAACAGCAGTACAATTTAGAGCAGTGGTTCTCAACCTGTGGGCCCCCAGATGTTTTTGGACTACAACTCCCATAATCCCTGAGCTCTGGCCTTGCTAGCTAGGGGTGATGGGAGTTGTAGTTCAACAACATCTGGGGACCCACAGGTTGAGAAAGGCTGATTTAGAGGGTTCTATCCCTGAACTATTAAGCTCTGTCCCTTTTACTCATTGTATGCAGCCCAGAGCTACAGGACTCTACCCACAGAGCCTACCCAAGTACCAAAAGATTGTCTTCCAAGAACAGGCAGTTCTCCAAACTCAACTTGCACATTCACCCCCACTAGTAAGATGCAAAGGCAATTTAGTCTAATAATAATGATGATGATTTTACTATTTATACCCTGTCCATCAGGCTGGGTTGGCCCAGCCACTCTGGGTGGCTTCCAACACGTTTAAAAACATAATAAAATGTCAAATGTTAAAAACCTCCCAATATAGGGCTGCCTTCAGATGTCTTCTAAAAGTTGTGTAGTTCTTTATCTCCTTGACTTTTGACGAGAGGGCATTCCACAGGGAGGCTGCCACTGCCAAGAAGGCCCTCTGCCTGGATCCTTGTAACCTCAATTCTCACATTGATTAGGGTTGCCATACGTCCGGAATTTCTCGGACATAGCTGCTATTCGGCCGTAAGAAACAGTGTCTGGGCAGAAATTACTAAAAATGTCCAGGAAAATCCAGACATATGGCAACCCATGTCAGAAGTGTAGATTTTGGTGAATTTCCTTAAAAATATCTCACTTTTTGAAATATGGCAACCCTACAAGTGAAGGAACCACCGGAAGACCCTTGGTACATGACTTGCAGTCTTGTCTTAACCAAAACAGCTAGATAGCTCAGGACTTGCTTTTTAACAATGTGGTGTCAACAGCTAAATTTTTTTCTTTTCTTACTTAAAAACCTCCAGTTTTATGGTTTCCTGATTAGCTCCATAAATGGCATTCACAGCCTTTTAAACAGTAGAAGCAGCTCCTCGCAAATGGATGGCGAATTTTAACAGCGATCACGACATATGTTTATCTCTGTTTTATCGCCAGTCCATAATTCTCCTTTCAGGCTTGAATGAGGTAATCTGCTCACCTTTCAGCAAACTCTGCGATATGGAAAGAATTTAGTTGTGCGGGGGGCACCCTAATGAAATGGAAACCGATTAGAAAGTAAACAACCACAGCCTGAAATATGCCTTTGGACTGTGGCATAATGCATGGGAACAGAGTATATTTATAGTCTACCGAGGCCTGTCTTCTACTACAATAACAGGAACATCATTTACTAAACAAACACCAGCTGCCCATATATCTCTGACACCTGACCGTTTTGTAGAGCCCGGAAAGCTTCATCAAACACAGCCGTCTATTAAGGGGTAGAAGTAAAGCTTTTAGTGTTAATAATAAAAAATAAATAAATAACTTGGCTTAAGGCTACCCTGAAGGTTGTCCTTTTTTATTTTATGATCTTTTCCCTAGGAACAGCAAAGCGATCTGTCATAGCCGCGATAGGTACACACTACCAGCAAATGGACGATTTTATGAGTCAACCCTTTGCAGGCTGGCATTCCACTGGAGAAGTGCGCGTCTTCAAACATGCAATGCAGCACACAGCAAGGGGTTCAGGGCCAACTCACCTCTCCGTTAATCTCTGTGCTTTCTGTTCCATAAGTGACACCCCACTCAGAGACAGAGGCACCCATTTCAGGAACAAAATGGGAAACCTTTCCAAATGTCAACCTCTTGCCCCCTTTCACTGCTGGAATACAGCTTCCAAGCTCAAGTGCTTTCCTTTGTACTGAATCTACCGCCAATCACTTTCACTAGGTAACCCTGAGATCCAGAATGACGAGAGAGGGGTAATTTTCCCCCCACATTCGTTTCTTCCACAATTTTATAATTTTAGTATTTTGTAGAAGCCAATCATGTTTTCTCAAATCATTATTTTTTAATCACCCTAAACCAGAAAGCTTGGAAAAAACACACCCTTATTAAGGGCACCATTATTGTTCCTCAGTACTTTATGAGATTGGCCCTGCATTCAAAAGGTGGGTGGAAGATAGATTTATATAAGAGAACGTGTGGAATGCAGTGTGGAATGCTTTGCTCACAGTTCTAGGCAGCCATGCCTTCTTTCAGAGTATTCCATTCCATTTTGCCTACAATTTCTCATCTATCCCTCTCCACAACTTTCAGTCAGCATTCAATGGTCACTGAGTTGTGCTTGTTTTTGGTCCCAAGTATTATTATTGGGGGGGGGGGGTAATTCTGCAAATTTTGAGGTTCCTCGAGTCCTGATGCCTCCCTTTTGTGCAAGGGTGGTGCCATTTTAGCTACATATGGACCCACACTTAACTGAATTTGTTTCACCATGAGTATATAGGATAAAGCCATGGTGGTGCTTGATATTTTATCTTCAGCAACATAGGGAGCAGCCTTACAATGAGTCAAACTATTGGTCCATCTAGCTCAGTATTGTTGGTATTGACTGACAGAAGCTTTCCAGAATCTTGGGCATCTCCCAGTCCTACCTGGAGATGCCAGGGATTGAACCTGGGAACACCTGTGCTCTCCTATTGATCTTTAGTCCTTCCCTAATTTTATTTCAATACCCTTTCTAACAATCTCAAGCACACCATTCACTGAATTGGTGTTTTCATTTCCACCAAGACCCAAAGATCTCACACCTGTAAAGCCCCAGCCTATTCAGATCTCATCTGTGCTAGATGTGTAGCTGGAATTTATTTTTGTGCCTGTGTGCATCACTTTACACAGAACCTCTGCAATTCATTTAAAAGACACCACTCACTTTACCTCTCCTACCTGAAGATATTGTTTTGTATACAAACTGTTTCTGCCTTGAGTTCTATAGTACAGATGAAAGTGGATAATCCCTCAGAGTAGCTGAAAAGTCAATGCACCAGAGGTCAGGAGTAATGGAATTACTGCATTTGAAGCAATGGACACGGCTGATGGGGAGGACTCTCTAGTTTCAAATGGATCTCTGCTTCTCTACTAAATTTGACATAATCTAGTTATTATCAAAAGACAGCAGGAAAATGAAGACAACGTGACTTTGCCTAATTTTTCATAGCGACGTATCTGTTACTTCCTAGCTTCAGACAGACATATTTCCCATCTTAGCTTTGAATAGACTCTTTCTCAAAACACTGTAGGGTTGGTTCTGTGTGTATGTGTAAAACAGATGATATCAAAATCTAATTTTTCTTTCCCTCTGTATGTATTAATAGCTTCAGCAATTTCTCCTGTAATAATAGACTTAAGATGATGAACAGAGCAGAGCAGAGATAATTCTCATCAGAAAAAGGAGGAAACTTAAATGAAGAGAGCACTTAATAAAAGGTTGCTCGCCTAATAATTTTAAAGAATGATGCCAACAATCTGGAACAGATTCAGAAGAAAGCTTCAAGGATAATGAAAAGCACTGACTGGTAGAAGGATTGATTATGTTTTTCCTAAACATACTCCCCAGTCCCCTTTTCTGACCTGCCCCCCCTTCCTCCAGCCTCAACATTTCTCCTCAATTCAATAGCTTTTATGGGAGACAGAAAGTGGGAGGTGCTACTCCCTTAATCTCCTAAATCCTCTCAGAAGTGCAGGATACCATTGATCATGGCATTTATTATTTTTATATAATTAATTATATTTCTGTATTGCTTTTTTAATGAAAATATGTTTTTATATTGCTGAACATCACCTTGATATTTTATGATAAGGCAGGATATAAATGCTTTTATTTATAAAATGAATAAATAAGAATGTTAGCACCCTTCATCATTTAAACAGTTTCCCTAATAGCAGTTCCTACAAAAAAACACTTGCTGTAACCTAGCACAGAGACTATTACGTCCTACCACTTTCCTGATAATGGAGCCTTTGGTTTGGTCAGTTACATGGTAGACTATTGAAGCTTCAACTTTTTACTGGAAAATGACTCTATCAAAATCTGCAAAGTGCTGAAAGGACAGAGACCCTAAAGACAGACACTCTACCACGCTTGTTTATTTTTAACCTCCCTCTCTGTTCTTTCTTAAAGTGTTCAGTTGTGATGTCTAAAGTCAAACAGAAGCCAGGAGTGCCAGGCATTTTAAAAGCACTCAGACTGAAAGACTGACATATCTAGTGACTGAGCAGAATGCTAAGGTTGTATATGCCTCTAGGCCCAAACAGATTTACTTTCATGTGGCTGTCTGGCATCTATAAACTCCCAACAAAGTGGACTTTCTTCCTGCAGTCCCCTTTCCTCCCCTCCCCGGCTGCAATCTCCAGCACAACAACCCAACGCCATTCTTAGTAATTGGAAATGTTCCTTTTCAGAGCCAGTGCCAAAAACTGCTGCTGGAAATGACAGCCATTTACAGTGTCTGTTGTCGGCCCATTTTGGAAGCTGTACTTTTCTTGTCAATACTGAGCTTCTTTTCTACAGTATTTTCAGAAATATTCAGCTAACCCTGTGGTTTTCAAACTGTGTTCTGGGGAACCGTGGGGTTATGTGGAAGTTTACTAGGGCCTTGTCAATCAGGAGATCAGAAATGTTTGACAAGCTTCCCCGGAAGACAACTTGTCCATCACTATCCCATTGAACTGCACAGTCACAGGGGCCTGTGTTCTACAAGGGGGGAGGGGCACATTGAGACCTCAGTGCCTGTGATTCAAGTGATAAGAATCAAAGAACCTTTTGCTCTGCTACATTTGCCTCTGGCCCCATGCACCACTGGCATATGGCCCCTGGAAGAGGTTTCTTGGCTGAGAAAAGGTCCCCACTATTACTCTGCCTAAAACATGACCTCAAAACCTCTGCAAAATGCCAGGTCTCCCTGGCAAATGATATGCAGAATTCCTTGGCATTAATGAAGGAATGGCAATGTGGAAACCTAGAAAGCTTTAAAAAAATACATCACTGGGCTACTCCATACTGCTGCATCTAAATTTCTTCCAAAAGTACTGAAATCCAGTTACCCCTTAATTAAACTTTGTCTAGGACCTGGATATGAAACCTGCTTCACAATAAAAGGAGAGGTACAAAGCTAGTTTATCTCCTGATTACAATCCCTAAATGCCATTTTTGGAGGATCATGGAAGATCTGGCCCTGTGATTTGGGAATTGATATGTTTGGACAATGCAGCAAAGATTCTGCACTATTTAGTGTTCACCCAAAGCAGAGCTTTACCAAACTCTATCAGTAAGCAGTCATTATTAATTTGCTCATAGAAAGTAGACAGGCCAGAAGGACAAAACACATTCCTCCAGATTTTCAAAATGTTATTTGTTGATGGTGAGTAAAAAATCTGGAGGTCACTTTGGAGCTTAACAACAAATATGCCTTACTGGACAGCAATTGTACCTGGCACGTGTAGTACAAGAAACGATTTCTGCAAATTTACATGGTAGCAACATTTTTTGGCTATGCCATTTCAGACTGCAGGGAGCTGATTGCACTTTTGAATGCTTTGTATGTAGATAACTAGCAGATTAGGAAGGAGGTCCTCACCTACTGCTCTCTGTACCTTTTTCTAGGTACAGGGCCTTTTTTAAACAAGATGAGGCCACATTAAAATGTGCAACTCCTCTACTTGCAATCTGAACTGATGATAGTTCCAGAAGAAGTCTGCCAACTGATTTTGCTGATTTTGTGGGCACTGATCCTTACGAGTTCTTTCAGGTTCTTCCCTGAACATTTATCCCTTTCAGTAACAAGACCTCCAGCTTGTTCAAGTCTATTTAGGAAACAGAAGAAGAGAGGAGAAAGAAAGAAAGAAAGAAAGAAAGAAAGAAAGAAAGAAAGAAAGAAAGAAAGAAAGAAAATAACATAACATATTGATATTTGATGTTTAAATCTGAGAAATAAATTGCTCATAGATTAGACTGTCAGGAAACCATAGACAGTGCAGTAGAAAAGGCCTCGCAATTCAGCCAATCCATCTCACAGTCAATGCAAGACTGTTGCTAACTGTGTACATTCTCTTAGTGTCTAGATTGATTATTCAGTCCCAATTACTGACAGGCTCTAATTGCTTAGGCCTAGTTCCAGTTTCTGTTGTTACTCTATTGCCAACATCTATTATTTTATTGCAAGTGTCAAAACTCTACATGCTGCTTGCAGCGGAGAATTCATGAAAACTGTAGCCTCTTTTAACAAATAATAACGATGCAAATTGGAATGCTTCTAACGACTGTCATTGTACCAAAAATGCAGATCTTTTAAAAGTAATTGTTACCCTTAATAAGTATTTCATATGCAATTTAATGGTTTTAAAAATAATTTTCAAGGCTTAGAATAATTTTTATGGCTGATAGCCCTGCTTCTGTCATTAATTCTCCCCCACTCAAATGGCTCTTTCAGATGGGGCATTTTCTTTTAGTTACAAGCATGTTGACCTCCCTTGCCCTGTTTTCTGCCAGTACAAATGATAGACATTTAATAGGGTGGGGGAGAAGAGGGGTTGGGTTGCCCCAAATAGTAAGTGTATCTCAAAACCCTTCCCTTCCCCACAGTTTACACACTGGTAAAGTGATAGTCTCAGCACTCAGCCTAACATTCCTTTTGGATGATGATGATATAGAAACCCTTTCAGCTCATAGGAGCATCACTAAAAAAGAATGTCCTCCCGTTCTGGCTCACAGAAGATACCATGGCTGAAAGCCGCCAAGAGATCAAGTAAGAATGGCAGGGCCACACCACCCTTTCTCACTCCTGTTTAAGGTAATTAAGGCAATCCATCTGAGCTAAGCCCAGGTCAGTCCCAGATCCTGGTCTGATCCAGATTGGAAGGGTAAAGATAATCAGGCCCACCCATCGCAAGAGTGTCCGTGGCTGAGCTGCCACAATCTCCTCAAGCACCTTGCAACGAAGAACAGTATTTGCAAACAGGAGGTTACCCAAAACCTTTGGACCCTGAGTTATTTTCCAAGAGTGGTTATATTACTGCCTCTTTAAAGGTGACAGACAATGTTCCCTCTTGCAATGATGCAATTACTAGACTCTGGACCCACCTAGTAAAAGAAACCCTTGTCACAATGGACAAAGACTGAGAGGGCACTGTGGTCATATGAGCCCCTGCAAGCACCTTGTCTACATCCCTGGGCTTTCAACCTACTCAAAAATTATCTCTGTGTATTTTTAGGATAATAATTATTTTTTCCCCCTCTCTGTTAACCTTTTGGAAGATTAAATCTGTTTGCCGTGGCATTTACAGCAATCAGACTGAATACATTCATTACACAAAACAGACATATCCATGTTTATCATGCACAATCATTTCCCATCCCTGCTGAGTTCTTGGTCCCTCCACAAATTATATACTATTGCCTATCAATGAAGCACCAGTAAAATCTAGTTCATTTTTATATGAATATTAAGCTTTTCTTCTTGCTGTCAAACTTTATGGGGGAAAGGAACCACAGAAAACGTTCTGTCATTAAAAAAAAAAATCAATATTAAGTTGTGAAAATAGCTGAAGTCTTGTAATTCTCCATAGTACTGAAGTACATATAGGTAGATATGTACACGGTGGTCTCACGTTGAGATTGCTGTGACATTCTCCAAGTGGGGCTGCCCTTGCGCTTCGTTCAGAAGCTGCAGCTAGTGCAGGATGCTGCAACTGAAATACTGAGTGATACGTCTAGCCATGAACACATTGCACTAGTGCTTAAGGACCTGCACTGGCTGCTAGTTTGCTACTGAGACAAGTTCAAGGTTTTACTATTCACCTATAGAGCTCTAAGCAGCTTAAAGTACTATGGAGATTGTCTCCCCTATCATAGGTGAAACTGACCTTCATGACCATCAGTGGAGGCCCTACTGGCTGTAGTGAATTGCTACCAGGAAACTTGTTGGAAACAGACCTTGCTGAATGTACGAGATTTCATCGGAACCTGCCACTGCTGCACAACCCAGATAAGGGAGGTGGTGGCAGTAGGATGGCAGTGGCATCTTCCTGTTTTGCCTCAGGCAGCAAAATGTGATGTGCAGCCCTTAGGTGCTTATGGAACTCACTCAAAAATTTAAAATGTCATCATGGGTCTAAAAAGATTAGCATTCCCTGGATTATAGGGTACTAATACAGCAACGTCCGCCATCAACTTGCATCTGGCTTACAGCTCATGCTGAATAACAGTCTGCTGCTTCTCTTCAAGGCAGGTGAAAAGAATGCTATACAGCATGCTGCTCCAGGCACACACCCTGAGGCACTACTCCTTATGTGTAGTGCAGACAGAATGTCTCAGAGCACCTCAGTTAAGTCCCAGAACCCCATTTCTCCAATGCACATAAAAGCACTTATTTGTAAGTGTACAATGACTTTTGTGATTATGCGGTTTGAGTCACTATAAATAAATGCAAAGTAAATGGCAATGTGTGCAGAATAGTTTGCACTTTAGAAGCATACTCAATTTTTAAAAAATGAGCTAGGCTCAGTTGTTCATCAGTTACGATGCAGGGAAGATATTTCCAGAGCTTCACACGGTTGCTACAGGACTCCTTTTCACACCCACCCTTTCTGCTTGACCAAATTAGCAAAGTTTACCAGGCCCCAGGCCCAGAATTAGGTTTTCATTACAAATCATAGCCTGGGAATATATAAAACAGGAGAAATAGAAATGTTTTAAAATACTTTGTGTGTGTTCAGAGTATTATTCATTTTCCAGCAGTTAGGATTATGTCTTAAATCAGAAGTAGTGAATGTGCTTCCCTCCAGGGATTGTTGGACTACAACTTCCATGATCCCTGACCACTAGTCATTCTGGTAGGGATTTAGAATTTCACAACAAATATAGGACCCTATATTGGCTACCCAAGGCATACAGAGAAGAGCCTTAGTTCTTCTGGACTGTTAGGCCCTGGGCCAGATTTAGAGGGTAGCTGAAACAGAGTGCCAGAGTTGGAGGGTGTTTGTAATGGTGTATCTCCTCAACTCAACAACTTTAATGTACTATGATCAGTTAATATGGCATGAATAAATACATATGTATAGACCTTAATATGCATGTTTATCAACTTATATGCATACATATTGGGCATCAGAGTTTATGAAATGGGCTGCAAAATCAATAAAAAATAATGTTTTTGAACAGTGGAATGAATGAATAAATGAATGAAACACCAAAGACTTCTAGCCTGGAACACCATTTGGTCTAGGGACCAAAATTTCAGAGATGAAAATAAGGACATGCTTGTTAACCCAAATTTTCATACCAGGTATCATTGTTTTAACCCCATTACCATTTCCCACTGCTGCCTTTCCTTGCTTGATTTGTCACAGCCTGCTGCCCACTCATTTACAAACCAAGGGGAGTTTGTTATTTCAGTTAATTAAAAGTGCAAGTACCCTACAAAAGTTCAAAATATAATCTCAGCAGCTTTAGCATCTGAAATGGCAGGCTGTGGCTGAAAGTTCAAGCACAGGCATTTAGATGCACTTTGCACAAGAGACAAGGTGTGCCCACGCCTAACTTTCGACATGTAAGTTCTATAGAACACTGGAAAATGACAACCCTTGCAACTCAGTGTTTAACTCCATGCTAAATGTGTTGTTGGCATCACCATCAGTTTTTTGTTTTAAAAAAATAAGTATTACGTAGTACTACTAATTTAGTAATAGCAGGGCATGGCGTGTGTTTTCATCAGGACCACAGAGCATAGGGAGGGGAGATTTAAACATCCGAAGCTACAGCCTCCATTTTTAAAAACATGCCTGTTCTGCATGAAGCAATTGCCCAAAGGGAGCTCCTTTTTCCTATCAGCAATTGCTGAATGGTTGGAAGAAATTTCACAGATCCCCTCTCCATGTACTTTAGCATACTGTTGTGTCCATGCAGTATTACTTAAAAAAAAAAAAAAAAGCAAGCTAATAATGCTGTAGATTATACTTTCAACATATCATACTTAGGCTAGGGTGGCAATGTATCCTACTTTGAAGAGGACATTTTTCTGCTTGAAGGCATACAGTCGTACCTTGGTTATCGATCTTAATCCATTCCGGAAGTCCGTTCGACATTCGAAAACCAAGGCGCGGCTTCCGGTTGGCTGCAGGATCTTCCTGCACTGAATCGGAAGCCACGTTGGATGTTCGGCTTCCAAAAAACGTTCACAAACCGGAACACTCACTTCCAGGTTTGCGGCATTCGGGAGCCAAAACGTCCGAGTAGCAAGGCGTTCGACAACCAAGGTACGACTGTACTCTGTTTGAAAGGTTGCCATGTCCCAGCCTAGTTTAAAGATAAAGAACCATAGCAGGGGCAGTGAAAGTATCTATCAATAGTTAGCACCTGGAAAGCAGACTGAGCAGGCAAACACTATCGTGAGATTGCTGCATTTCTAATTACATTATAGAAAATATCCCTAAATATGCATACATACATAAAATTAGCATATGTAAATATTCTGCAAATGTGAGTCTTTTTTTGGGGGGGTGCAACCTGTAAAAAGACAAAAACAGGGACAAAACAGAGACAGTGAGCAACAAAAAGTAGAAACTGTTCCTGGTAAACACAACATGCATTTTACTATGGAGACCCTGAATAGTCAGTATATCCGATATCTCCCCTAACTGTAGTACAACTTCAACAGCAGCCCACTTCACATAATTGCCTGATGCCAACAATAGTCATCAACATAAAACAGAAGTAAGTTCAGGACCTCTGCTTGCAGCAACAACCTTCTCAAAAGCCCTCCGAGCTGAGTGCAAAGGAGCCTGTAGGCGAAACAGTGTGTGTTAAGACTGACACACATGAAATATTAATCCCCCCAATTGCCTACATTTGCATAGTAATAAAAGGAAATTCATCCTCTTGGCCTGCTCTGGCCCCAATTATGAATTCTGCCACTGTACCTGAGATTTGGGGAAAAGATCGAGAAAGGGAATGTGTTGTAGAAATATTTCCCTCTGGAAATGGCAACATTAATGGAGCTTATCACTACCATCATTAATTTAATCAGGAAAAACCTTGAGGCAGAAGGCTGTAGCAATCTGTTAAGAAAACATTTCCCCAAAATGAAAGCAATTGTAATTTCAATTAAGCAGAGGTTCCCCCCTTGTTCTTTTCTTTTTAACCTACTTCTTGACCCTTTTCTTTTCACACTTCTCACTGATTCTTTCTATCTCATTTCCTCCTCTTCAGTTGAAGATCTGGCAACTCAGTACCATCTTGCTCTCTAAGGAATGTTGGCTGGTCAACTGTGCACTGAAAAACAACCACCTTATGTAGCTGTTCCGGTGCAATTTAAGGTTGCATACTTAGAATCCATAAGTCACATCAATAGTGACCTCTTGACAATGCTTTCAAGGTTAGGTTTTGTGCACAGTATAGGGCCCTAATTTAGCACCCAGTGTATTGTTTGGTGGCAGGGTGTTAGGGCAGGCTGTACTCCTCTTCTTTTTGCCTGAACGCAGCACATGCCTCCCAAGGTATGATGGGAAAGGCCATACCTTAGTGGTAGAGTACATATTCAGGTAGAGCTGGGAAAACTTCCTGAAACCCTGGAGAACTTTTTGCAATCAGCTGGTTTGGATCAATGGCATGTAGTCAACTAACTTTTACTGAATTTAACGGCCATGGGTAACTTAGCACCATTAATATCAATGGGTCTACTCTGAGTAAAAGTAACTGAATATATCCCAATGGTCTGACTCTGTGTAGGGCAGTATCCTATATTCCTATGTTATACCAGAAGTTTGGCAAGGGGAGAGCATTGAGGGAATTAATACTAATTCTCTTTGCTTTGGTTTCGTTGATCTATGTCATTATCTTCAAAGTCACCCCTTGCTGTGGATAAATGTTTCAGGTGCTTAAGATGGTTTGAGGGAGATGAGTGAAGTCCTTCACATATGGATTCATAGAGAAAGTTGGCCTAATTATCACCCAAAATCAGATGGATACAACACCTTCATTATATACCTTTAGGAACCAGGGGAAAATATTCTTCCTCCACTAAGCTTTTGGCTATACCCTTTTAAATGTGTTTGTGGGAGGGTGTGGAGGAGAGGGAGGGTTATTGCTTTGTTCTGTTCTTGTTTTTATTATGTATTCCGTGTTTTTATATTGTATTTTTATAAACAGCAGTATACAAATTTGATAAACAACAACACCATGACAAACAAAGGAAAAGTCACTAGAACAACAACAACAACAACAACATAACAAAGGAAAAGCCATGGAGGCCATCTACATTATGCATGGTTTAGAGCACTCTGATTTCAATTCATTGAAGTGAACCACTCCTAGCCATTGGCTCAGCTGCTGAAGTGCTATGTTTTGAATGTTTATGAACTTTTCAACTGCTCAGAAGTTTAAAGAACTGTCTCAGCATCCCAAGGCCTCATAACAGATGGGTCTATCTTCAGCTTGTGAGAGATCTTTCAGCAAAGAAGGGAGTCGGTAGATAATGAAGCACTTATCAACTATTAAATTACATGCATGAGTGTTTTCTACATATGAGAATCTATGTGAATGGAACATGTGCATCATGTTTGTACGTAAGAGTGCTGAATGTGTACTGTGTGAATAGCCAAGTTGTGTGCAGGTTAATGGGAAAGTGTCCAAAGGAGACAGAGAAATGGAACCCTATGATATTGCACTCACATGAATCGCGCCATCTCCTTCCACTACTTGTTGAAATAAATATTCCAAAGTACTCGTAAAGGCATACAACAAGCAAAGAGCATCTTGAAAAGGACAGATCACCTTCAACATCCA